TTTTCTCAGCGTGTTTGGCTTGAAATTGGCTCCAGGCCGTAAAATAGCGCGCACCAATGAGCTTGTATGAGCGCGCTGACCGCGAACAGCCAAAATTCAAAAGTAATCCATAGTTCCGGTTCCCAGCTGGCCTGGTGAGTTTTTTTTCTTATCTTATTCTTTTGATTGTTTGTTTTTGTTGAGTTTAATTTTGTTTTGTTGAATTTGATTTTGTTGTGAGGAAATTGCTCAGGATTCAATTTCTACGGTTTCATAGGTAGCTTTTGCAATGGATTCTTTTCTAGATTTTGCGGATTAGTGGATTGGGATTTACTCGAGACCACATGAGGAGGGTTGGTGGGCGAAGTGTCTTGAAGTTTTTTGTGAGGAAGGAGGAAAAAGTTTCAGCAATATTTTTTTTAGTTCTTGGCCTAGGAATAGTTCGATAGTGCCTAGTTCTATTTATTGTCATCTACATCGTCCCTTTTGAGCTTCTTTTCACTTGTACCGTGTATCACCGCTCTCTCCACTTCAACATGGGCCATGCGTTTACGACCCCCCCCCCGTTGTGATGATCACAAAGATGGCGCGCCCTGGGTACATGTCCTTGGGTTCTTTCTTGTGAATTAGCTTCAACCATGTCAAATGACACCTCCCTAGTGAGACTCAAATTTCAAACTGTTCCTCACAATGTATAATTAGAGTGACATGAAATTCTGTTTGGGAAATTTTTGAATTTTCATTGATCTGTTTCAGATCCGTCCTGCTACTCCTGCTGCAAGTGAGTCTCTTTCTCAGGCTACTTCTCTCTGAAATTAACTTCACTGCAGAGTATAAAGCTAGTCTTCCCTACAAATGGCCTGTCCACGAAACTCCACGAGCTGCAAGTAACTGACAGTAGTAATAACTGACGCGGCTTTATCGAAGCAGCTGTGTTTCATGGATCCCAGATCTTTCTTCCTGATTAGGGCATTCTTCATGCTGATGGTATAGGCGAATTCAGCCAATAACTGCAACTCCCTATTATTCTGTCGCCTGTCTGAGACCTTTGGGGAAGTCAGAATGTTTGGTCCGACTCCACTCAAACGATCACCTGGGCTGTTGCTTCGAGGAGGAAGCATTTTGACAGTTTCGCTATTTGAAAGGGCAGAAAGCAAAACTGGAGTGATAACTGTAATGGATCTCAATCCTTGTCTTTGACGAAGTCCACGCGCTGCGAAGGTACAGCAACTTTCGTCGCTTTTCAAAGAAGTGGTGCCGAATGGCGTGGAATGAGCCGATGCATTTTCTACCATTAGTGGTTGGTCCAGGTAGGTGCAATCAGTGCAACCAGATACACAAGAAACTGCACCGAAGTTTTTGGGTAGTACTGGATTCTGCGGCGCATCATCGAACTCTTTCATTACATCTTTACTTGTTCATTTATAATGTTCCTGTTGTAGTCTGCCGAGATCTTGTCAACCCACGAACAGGAACATCAGACTGCCCAAATGTAGCCTATTTGTGCAACAACGCCCTCTACTACAATCTCATGACACAGCAATGCCCGAGGACATGCAACAGATGTCCTCCAGGAACAGTGACTCCGGCCCCATCAAGTGAGCTTCTCGAACTTCGGGCAAAAGCCCAGCGTACTAAATGAAAACCGAAAAATGAAAAGAAAAACTGGCACGGTACCGCGTGCGTCAAATGTAGGGCTGTTCCAGAAGAAGTTATTGATCCGCTGGGGAAAATCGCTGCCGCACCTTGGATTTTTTTTTGCAGTCACCAGCGGTTCGTATTGAAGGCACCTGGTACGACCACACACAGTTTGGGTGTGCATAACTATCAGCCCCCCCCCCCCTCCCCCAGCTGTCGAAGCGTAGCGGTTTCCCCGTCCTAACATGCGCAGGAATGGAGATACAGGACCGTGAAACACGCTAATTCCTCCATGCTCCTCCCAATGACCTTTTGCGGGGCAGACTCCCGTTTTTGTCTAGTGCAAGAGCCGGTCCCGCGCGGCGCGTGCCCTCGGCCAGCGCCTCTTAGGCCGCTTTGGCCGAATCTCTTGTAATTGCCGGCTTCGGAATGACAAGTAGAAAACGCAATTTGCCTGATGCGGGGATAGATTTGAGGTGCTGCAGTATTAAGAACGAAGGGGGGGTGATGGACGAGGGCCAGAACTCGAAGGACAACTGGGTCGCTGGCTTGCGTGCAATATCCTCGGATGGCGCGCATTGCCAAACAAAAACATAAAATAAACGGCCAACGCCCAACTTGGTTAGTTTAACAGTATTTTTTTATTGGTCTTTAGCAGCTGGGATCCTGGCGTCGAGATGGCGAGAATTCACACCACGATTTTAAATTAATATATTTCCTTAGTTTTCTTCATTTTCGTTTTGCTTGACATCTTACAACGTCTGTTTGTTCGATCTTTGAGCCTTTCATCGATCTTTCACAGCCTTCTGGAGTTCGGATCTTCGCGGCTGATGACGCAAATATCCACCCTGCCGCAAGACGGCGCGCGCACTGCCGCGCCTCTTGCGCACGGATGCAGACTTGCCTAGACGAGGACTCCCGCCGCCTTCATCGGCGGTTGCCTGGTTAAGAAAAGCCGACCGCCCACACCGGCTTTTTGCACGCACGACGACAACCGTGCCCGACCGCACGGGGCGGGAATAAAGCGTGTGTATTACCGCTGTCGCAATGATCGCTCTCGAGGGTTGCTCCCACGTGTGCAGGCGCCTACTGTAGCTCGCCGCCTAATCTACGCTTTTTGCCTCCGGCATGATCGGGAAACCGCAGTAGCATCGATCACAGCGGCGCTCTCTTCTCGTTCATACCTACTCCATGGTTGACGATTGTTTTTTTTCCCTAGTCAACTACTTATCTCTTAACTAGCACTTCTGTGTAATCCAGCGGCATGACTTGCCAGTAGCACGATTCTATTTTTTCCTGTTATTCCCTAACCCCCCCCCTCCCTCCCCTCCCAATGACAACGATATGATTCTCCCTTGTTTGACCCACTAATGGCGATGGCTATCGCTGAGCGCCGGGCCTTAGAACAACTAGTGAAGTCCATTTGCGACTAGTTCAGCGTCCACACAGCCATGATAAGATATCATTCTTCTACTCGAGCTCCGCAAGTGTGTTCTATTCAGAGGGCTCGCAGATCTCCGCGACGGAACCGTAGGCTCAATGGTTTTACTGGTAAGTAGTTCATGTTATATCACTGGGACTCATGAAGTTGCCAATTTCCATTCTGTTCACGTACAAGTAGAGGTTCTGCCTTACAGTTCTTATGAGTCATCTGGTTCTGGCGCATTAGTTCAGTGGACGGATCTTATCCAATAATACAGTAGAAGGTAGGAAAGATGGGGTCGCTTGATCCGAAGTTCAGGATTTTGAGCGCGAGGGAGCTGAGGCGTGCACGCGTGCAGACATTACACTTGCGACAATGGCAGTCACTTTAATAAAACAAACGAAACACTTCAAGAATTATTCTAGTGTGTCTCATTACCTCTATGTTCTCAGACTGCACTTGTTTTTAGCCTGTCAAGATTTGGTTGACCCGAGAACAGGACGCTCGAACTGTGCTCAAGTGGCCAGCTACTGTCAAAATCCGCTCTATCTCGCTCTCATGAAACAGCAGTGCCCCAGGACTTGCGGATATTGCCCGTGACGTATTAATAATTGCTCGTAGATCACATTTAGCAGAATAAATTCTTCGAATTTGCTTGTTGATAACTCGGACCAGGATGTATGTGAAAAAATGAGAGTGAACAAAGCAACATTCAAATCCGAGTTCAGGGAGTACTAGTGCTCTGATGCCGACAGCTGAGGAGCTGATAGTCACGCACACCCAAACTATGTGTGATCGTACCATGTGTCTTTAAACTGAAGGAACCGCTGAATCAAGAAGGAAGTATGCTCCGGTTCGCTTCGGAGAAGGGACGCGTCAGGCAGTATGAATGTGCCACGACGCCTAAGTCGTTCTCGAGCTACGTGAGTAGTGAGGTTTTGTGCATGGGCCTGTTGTGAGACCAAGAAACTCGACAAATAGAGGACAGCGTCTGCCAAAGCATCGAGACGTGCAACAAACTACGCAGAAAAGCCATCAGACAGGCTTTTTCAAGCCTCTTTTGTCCGCAAGGACCGGAAATTCGAAGGTGGGTGGAGCCGACCATAGAGTGCCACGCGGACGAGACAGAGCAGAAAAAAAGACGCAAATCCGCAAATCTAAAGTAATTGAGTTCAAGTTGTTCGTAGGCCGTTCCCTGCCACTTGCTAAAGCGGATGTGCGGCAGTAGTTGGTAGAAAGCGAGTTACAAAGGGAGTCGTGAGTTCTTTCACTTCCTAGCCTCAACACTGGTGGAGAACGGGTAGCACCGCGCCAAACCCACTGGCATGCCCATTCGTCCGCGGCGAACTAGATTGTTACTGATGAGGCATTGAATATGCTATTACTGGCACAACAACAAATAGAAAAGTGTTTAGTGCAGAGCACATGGAGGACGAGGCACTGCAAACCGCTTTCTGAAGAGTAATAATTTGATGGGCTTGACTGCTGCTTGGCAAAAATGTGATGATACGTGGACGCGCGGAATAAGATTCCACTATGGGATTCTAAATTTCGCTAAATTTCCGAACAGCTTCGTTTCTGTGAGCATCCCGGTGCACTCCTCTTTCATAATCCAGCTTTCAATATTCCGAGACTTGATGTTTTACATTATGATAACTGCTGTTTTACGCCGCAGTTCGCGTTCCGAAAGTTATCACAAGAATGCTGAGTTGTGGGCAAAAGTCGTGCTCCAGGCGGGAGTCGGGAAATTTCCAAAGCCTTAGGCCTCGCGGTTCCATGCCGATATCTAACGATTACGGCTGACCGGCTCACCAAGTTAAACGTGTGAGTGCTGTAAGGCTACGGCATAAGTTAAACGTGTGAGTGCTGATAGGCTACGGCATAAAAGCCGTTAAGCTGAGAGGGTAAAAGCGGCCCTGGTGGCGTAACGGATAGCGCACTCGCCCGGAAAGCGTGAGGTGCGGGTTCGACTCCCGCCTGGGGCACGACTTTTGCCCACAACTCAGCATTCTTGTGATAACATTCCGAGACTTGCCTAAAATTGCAGCATATTGAATGAGTATTGCGTCGTGACTTCCAACATCATGCAATGCATTCTACGAAAAATCTATAGAAGTTCTTGTACGCGGTGGAATCTAAGCAAGTGTGGCCAAGCCCTCTTACGCTCAGATTCTACCCGTGTGCTACAACGGCTGCATCACTTCTTCAGATATCCCTTCAGTAGATCATAACTAAGGAACGACTTCTTTGATTCAATATCATCTCCTTCTGGTGCGTTGATTCACTCTCAATCATTGTATCACCTACACTTAAGTAGGATGCAATCATTGTATCACCTACACTTAAGTAGGATGCACGAAAATTGAGTGATCAGGATGGCCAACCTTCCCCTATTCTCCAGGTGCAGCAACTCCCCTGACCAGGGCAACCTAGTCACTGATCGCCTTGCCGCTCTGCGATTATTGCTTAATTGTCGAGGCTTCACGCCTATCTAGCAGACTAGAAGATTGAACTTCGCTCCCATTATAACGCTCCTTTCCAGTTCCCTGAAAAGGTACCAGTCCGTCAGAAGAATAAATAGGACTTCATTGATGCTGCACTGTCCCGGTCAAAAAAGCAACAAAAACAAAGGCAACGAAAAACTGGAAGCGCTTCCCATTATTTGCTCATGGAAAATGTGTTGATACCATTTAGAAATCATTCAGCAAATAAAATTCGTGTGTTTCAGAGCCCAAATAGTATTTGTAGATGCTAGTTGATTGTAAGCCTGACGGCTCATCCACCGTGATCATCAGGGTACTTGCATCGATGTACTCGGCTCGCTGTCATAGGCTGGTTACAGTCAAACGTGCATAGCCACGGGGATAGATTCTACTGGCTGCGACTATCGCCTAACAGCGGATCTTTTCTCCCAGCCGCTTTCGCGGCTCGCTTCTCTGCGCATTTCGTCAATCGCTGCACATTCAGCAAAGGATTATTCTCTTTTGTATGTTCTATTCCACACATGGAGAAGGATAGAGGACCTTACCTACACTTCATTTACCAGATGGCGGAAGAGTGGAGAAAGCCGTCAGAGAGGTCGTTCTCGAGCGACTAAAGAAAAGACACCACTGCACGGGTAAGGGACCACAGACCAAGATGAGAGAACGTGAATCTCAGCTGAAAAAGAGAGGACGAGAATGTTCTTGGAATCACGAGCAAGGGGGGGGCAACATAGTTGTTTACAAATATAGGACTGCTGCAATAAGCAGTTCACGAACGGGTTATACGCTCTCTGTTGTGGCATCTTTAGCTCATGCCGCTTAGATGGAGAAAGGTAGGATAGAGGTGAAGATATAAGTTTTATTACGTGTGCATAAGGCATATGTGAGAAAAAAAAATCGGTACACATTACGTATACAAGTTCCAACATTGACATTTTAGTTACAAGTTTTCAAGACAGTTAACAAGCAAATCACCAACTTATCGACCAGTCTCGAGAGAACTAGACCCATCATACCTCAATAACCTGTTGCAAATATGGTGTCTGAACTCAGTATGTGACAAATGGGGTATGGCTTTAGTTAACTCAATACGCGCTGGAGCCCGCCTGAAGGTGAACTCTACATAAAGTAAGTCTTGGGTTTTTGACAAATACCATCCTGTTCAGTCACTGTGTGAACACCCTAGGATGTTCGTGAAGGCCACTCCTTCAGGAACATCCTATAGTGTTCGTGCTGTGGTTTTGGTGACTTATTGAATTGCCAGATTACTTGCTTAAGGAAAGGATCTACGGATCAAGTGATGGTGGAATGTGTCCACAACTGCTTTTCCACCTTGTACACAGTGAAAAAACAGTTGCTGAAGCACATCCGTATATACAGTCTCTATCATTGCGCGGACTGTCGGAGGCGGCGTGAACTGCGCGGTTCGAGGGTGCGTTCGGTTCCTTGCTCTACCATCTGATCGGGTAAGATAGATGGGAGGAAGACCAATGATTCAAAGGCCGCAGGTGGGAACCCCTTTCCCTCCTCCACACACACCCTGCGCGAACACACCCCCCCCGACAATTTGCTGTGATATTAAAGTAGTTGTGGCACGATGATTTGTGATTGACCCAAATTGCTAGTAGGGCCTATATAGCTGCGAAAGAACGGAGTGAAACGGTCGAAATCCTGCCGAATAAAGAACCCCGTTTCAAATGTGTTCAAAATCAATTTTGGACGAGTTTCCCGTAGGCATCTTGCCAATAACCGCTACCGAAGGTACGGCTGCATATGTGTACTCATATATCCATGCAGCATCACGGCCTTCATACCAATCCCTTCGCTTCATAATTTGCTTAGCAAATGAATCGATTAGAGCGTCAGGAACGGTCGTCCATTTGTGGGCGGGCGGGCGTGGCGGGCGTTTGGGTCGGAATGTTGTGGCTTGATAGGGCCCTTATAAGGCAACCTTCTTGAAAAGGCATTATGCAGCGCCTGCTCAGGGTCGCGGAATTCCGTCCTGCCAGGCGTATTAATCCTACTCGTCTTGGGGATTTATCGTGCCAACTGCCTTTAAGTGTATGAGGAACTGGCCTAGATCCTTGCGCATCGCAAAAAACGATCCCACGAGTTTTCTTGCTTGCATTAATATGAATGAATAGGCCTTCGAATCAATTTTCACAGTGGTGGCGCTGGCATTCCCACTGTGTCGGAATGTCACACACCTGCGCTGTTCTGTAGAACGCTTCGACTCTTTTCCAAGTTAATTTTCCTCAGCTGGCGGATATTAAACAATGGGATTTGTGCGAATCTAGAGAGTGTCAAAGATCTCATATATGCGACAACGATCCCATTGATTGACTGGAACTGAGGGAAGAGCAGGCTAAAGCTCTACGTGGCACCGCTCAGCTGCTTTAGCACTATCAATCTATTTTTGCGGTGCACGACGCACTTAACTTTTGGAGACAGTCACAGTGACATTTTGCAGTTTTCTGCACAATAATTCACGCCCCTACCCCCCCTACCCAGTGTAGGTGTTCTCGTCCTCCCAGACAACCCTAGTGCTAGTTTCTCGACTGTGTTAGCAAACACTCAAGATAATTTTCATTTGAAACGCTGCGCACAATCACCTAAAATTCCAGGTTAATTCAACACAAAGCGCTCACCTCCACAGTCGGCCAAAACATGCCATTTTAGCCATACAAAAGTGCGCGGTGATCACTTAAAGGTACTATCCGCGATAAAAGACCGCATAAAGAAGCTGACCGCTTAGGCCTATGTCGACCCCTACTGGCTGCTAACTTCCAGGTAGTAGCTGCTATCCCTTTCCATTCCGAATGGTGAGAGTGATGTGATAAGATAAAAGACCTGATATTGCGGTAATAACAATGCGTGGAAATTCGTACAAACACGCATTTTCTTCGTTGCAACACGTATGTGCAAGTTGGGGTCGGCATGGAGTCCTATCCAATGCAATTCGGACTTTTTTCAGCATCTTGTCCCCAATAATCAGTTACCTAGCACTTTCTCGTTCGTACTTGAGCTCCATTACACGTAATCTGTGGTCGCGAGCTTTGCCTTTGAGAGGTTGAGTAAGAGTAAGACCATATTATGCTTGCAACCCTCCCCTTTGAC